CCCCAGCTCTGCCCCTGCTGCCCACGATCTCTGACACCGGCCCTGCCCAGACCTAGGGCCTCTGGTGGAGGCATTAGTTCTGGGCAGGAGACCCCTAGCTGCTCATGGTTGTAGGCTCCGCCCCTGCCCAGGCCTAACGCCTCTGGCCGAGTTGTTAGGCCTGGGCAAGGGACCCCTAGCTCGCCGGACTGCAGGCTCCACCCCTCCCCAGCTCCCATCTCGGGCTTTGGGAAGGGTAGCGGTCGTATGCTAATTACCATATTTCTCTATTATTAAATAGGATTAGTATAGTTTTGGTAATATTATATTTAAAATTGTTTTTTCTTGAAATATTAATGTTTATTGCATGAAATTTGTGCACTTGGAGGGGGGCCCTCAGCCCACCCTGAGCCCTCTCATAGTCTAGGAGCCCTCTGGGAATGTCCGACTGACGGCTTAGGCCCGCTCCCTGTAGGACATCATTAATGCTGCCACAGAGGCGGGAGAGGCTCCTGCCACCACCACTGCACTCACTAGCTGTGAGCCTGGCTCAGGGGTTCTGGCTGAGCAGCGTTCCCCCTGTAGGAGCATCTGCCCCATGGTGGTCAGCGAGCATCATAGCAACAGGTCGTTCTGCCATTTGGTTGATTTGCATATTAGCTTTTTATTATACAGGATACTTAAAATCGTTTTTCTTGAAATTTTAATGTTTATTGCATGTAACATTATTACATTTAAAATCATTTTTCTTGAAATATTCATGATTATTGCATATAAGTGGCTAATTATTTTGTATCTACAATCTGGTAATATATTTATTTTGTATATCATAAAAAAATAAAGAGTTGAAACAAAAAGCCACTGAATAGTACACTTTAAATGGATGAACTGTATGATATGTGAACTATATCTCAACAGACATTTTTTTATTTATTTATTTTTTTTAAAATATATTTTATTGATTTTTTACAGAGAGGAAGGGAGAGAGATAGAGAGTCAGAAACATCGATGAGAGAGGAACATCGATCAGCTGCCTCCTGCACATCCCCCACTGGGGATGTGCCCGCAACCCAGGTACATGCCCTTGACCGGAATCGAACCCGGGACCCTTCAGTCCGCAAGCCGACGCTCTATCCACTGAGCCAAACCGGTTTCGGCTCAACAGACATTTTTTTAAAGAAAGTGACCCAACCACTTAGAATTTTTAAATGGTTGTTATATTGAAAACAGACCATAGTAGAAGTAAAAGTTGATGCCAAGAAACCAGACAGGAAATAACTGCCAAATGAAAGATGGTGCCTTTTACCACAGATCTGGCAGAGATGGTAGGATATGTCAGATGCTGGATATGTTATAAAGCTGCTGCTGAAATAAAAATTTTAAGTGAACATTAGCACTGAAATTGTTTAACTGACTATATTTTGGTGGTACATAAAACAACAGGAAATTTTACAATCAAAAGTATCTGATATTTGCCCTGGCCAGTGTGGCTCATTTAGTTGGAGCATCGTCCCATACAACACAAGGTGATGGGTCCCGGTCAGGGCACATACCCAGATGGCAGGTTCCACCCCCGATCTATGCACATTGATGTCTATGTCTCTCCCCCCACCCCTAAAAAACACAATTTAAAAAAAGTATCTGATATTCAGTGATAAATGATGATAATGGAAACCATTAAAATTACTAAGATCATCAAGGAAGCGAAAATAGATGAGATAGATCATGGGGTGAATTCCTACCTCATCATAGCTCTTTTCTCATGGGACAAATGCAAGAACTTAGTGAGATATAAAGCATTTACCAGATTGCTTAAGGCATAATTAACACACAATCAGTCCTGGCCAGGTGTGTCTCAGTTGATTGGAGTGTTATGCCATACACCAAAAGGTTGTGGGTTCAATTTCCGGTCAGGGCACATACCTAGATTTTGGATTTGATCACCAGTCGGGGCTTGTATGTGATGTAACTGATTAATATTTCTTTCTCACTTCAAACTCTCTCTCTCTCTCTCTCCCTTCTCATATCATTGAAAACATACCCCTCAGGCCACATACTACATGGGTTGTGGGTTCAATCCCGTCAGGTTATGTGCAGGGAGCAACAGATGTTTCTCTCTCACATCAATGTTTCTATCTTCCCACCTTCCTCTCTCTCTAAAAAAATCAATGAAGACATATTCTCAGGTGAGAATTAAAAAAACAAAACCCAATACAATCAGTTACTGATATTATCATTAAATGTTTAAAGGCCTAAGGCAAAAGTTCCTTCAATGGGCAGTTTCCAGAGGTGTATCAGCCAGGATAGGCTACTTTATGCTCCGTCAAGAATCCCCCATTTCTGTGGCTTAAAACATAAAAGCTTTATGTTTCATTCATGCTATATGCCCACTTCAGGGAGACAGGGAAGCCCTGTTTATTGCAGTCACTCAGGCCTCAGGTTGACAGAGCAGCCACCATTTTGAATAATGCCAATCACTAGTCTGGACAGAAGGAAGAAAAAAACACAACTCTGGAGGGCCTGACACTAGCAATTAGACATAGGACATAAGGTGACACAGATCATTTTTGGTCATAACACATTGAGTAGAATTAGTCACATAGCCTTCTGTGTGATCATAATAAGAAAACAGGATATGGCTAAAAAATACAAATGACTACCATGTAAGGTTATCTCAAAATCCATAAATACAAGAAAAGTACATATAGAAAGACAGCTGAGACTTTGGCTTAGACACAATGATTACTAGGTGCAATGGAAGAAATGAAAAAAATGTATGACCTCTATCAAATATCGTCCACATTTTAATGACCTTTCAATAGGTAGCCCCTCTGCCAGAACATTCTTTTTTTCCATTGCTCAAAGCATCCTACAACCCAGCCAAATAGGAAACTGGGGTTTTTCCCCTAAAGACTTTAATGTGAATAAACACTCAAGTCTCAAACACATTGATTACTATTTACTTGTGCTGATTAATAAAGAATAATGTGAATAAACACTCAAGTCTCAAACACATTACTATTTACTTGTGCTGATTAATAAAGACAATAAATGAGACAATAATTAAGAAAGTTGGGAGGTTATATATACTTTTAACTCTAAAACTTGGCTAGGAAACTGAAGGGCTTGAAATGCAACCCAATGATAAAAGAAGAGAGGAGAAATTAGGACATAGAACAGTTATCTATAATTAGAAAATTATAAATTGGGTGTTCCTAGCCCACAAAAATTCTGTAACACCTGATTTCTTATAACAGACACTGCCACATAATGAAAGGAAGAACACATTATAGAAGATGGGCCAATAACGTATAGCAGATCCTAGAATAATCTCATTTGGTTCGAAGTTGTTTCTTACAATGGTGATGAGAAAAAAGTTAAGTGAGGCCTTACTAAACTTCACCTTTCTTTCCTTGTTTCTAAATATTTGCTTCCTTTTTAAAATTTGAGATAAGCTTTCCCTCATGGTGAGGAGCAGGGCTCCAGATTCATTTAGTTCCATTTATGACTTTAGTCACATATACATAGCTAAGAAATATATAGTCACACATATATAGTTAAAAAAAGCTACATTTCAGGAAAATTTTTGGGAAAGAACCTATTGTTGAAAGTATTACGACTGTCCCCTTTTGTCCCCCAATTGACGCCCTCCTCCCTAATTCCCGCCTTCACCACACTATCCTCTGTGGCCATGGGTTATGCATATCTACACTAATAAAAGACAAAGAGGCTAATTGACCATAACTTTGCTACGCCAAAGCCATGCCCACCAGCCAATCAGAGTGACTATATGCAAATTAACCCAACCAAGATGGCGGCCAGCAGCCACGGAGCTGGAGCAAGCAGGAGGCTTGGTTGCCCCAGCAATGGAGGAAGCCAAGCTTCCCTCCTGCCTTGGACGGCTGTGGCCTCCGCAAAAGGCAACAAAGTTTCAAGTATAGAAGCTAAATAAAACCCAGATACCAGCTTCCAGCTACCCTCCACTGGAGGTTGGGTGGCTGGGGCCTGTGGTCAGCCTGCAAACAGCCATCAGTCCCTCACCCAGCATGGCCATACCCTCATGGGGTGAGGATCGCTGCTGGGGGGTTTGGAGAGCCTGCAACAGCCATCAGCCCCTCACCTCGGCTGGTCACAGCCTCATGGGGTGAGGGACCTGGCTGGGGGGCTTGGCCAGTCTGCAAACAGCCATCAGCCCCTCAACCGGGATGGCCAGGAACCCCAGCAGGGAGTCCCCACCCTGAA